AGGAAATGTATTGTTTTTAAGAAATGAAGCAAAGATTATATTATATGCTAATAGTGGATTGTTTCGACTTTTTTTTTTCAAGATGAAATGAAAAAATGAAGGAAGAAAAAAAAAAAAAAAATTAAAAAATTAAAAAATATGCATATACATATATATTTGAATAAGAAATATAAAAAAAAAAAAAATTTCCAGACACGCCAGAGAAACACTTAAGTATTTATACTTAACAAAAAATGTACAAATATATTGTGTATATTGTGTATGTAGAATAATATTAAAGAAAAAAAAACAATGTTTATATAATATATATAGAATAATGTAAACGATAGGATTATGAAGGTGTTTGGTTACACATGAAATTAGCATGCCACCACCGCACATCATCAGCTCGACATACAGTATGTTACAATAAAAAATTTTTTTTGATTTTGTCATTCAGAATATATTAGTTCTGAATCCTAGTTCAACAAGAGAGAATGATATAAAGCTTTTCTTTTATGCTACCATTATATTAAAATAAAATAAGATCAAGAGTACCACATATCATCATTCTAAATACCAGTAGAGCCCGCTTACAGCAAATGAAAATCTTTACGATAACTTACTTAACCTGTTACTTGACATTTATAGTCGCATGAGAGATAATAAATGCTCGCTTCCTATTCCAGTGAAAGGTTTATCCAAGTTGGGAAGCAATTAAACTAGCGACACACCTTAACGTCAATATCAAAAGGAAGGGTGAAGACAGTCTTGACGTTTTGTCACCTCGAGTATGTAGCAGTGAAATAACTCGCTAACCAAATAAATATCACCCGAAAGAATATTGAATGCTGTGATCAATGAATGGCAATATCGATGAATGGCACTTAAGAATGGTCATATTACTTACATACTATGAGTACATGTGTAGATTAGCAATTGTACTTCAGACCAGTCAGTGATGAAGCATGGGGACCATCTATCCGTGCGTGGCAAATGCACAGACATTCCCACGAGAACCGTGTCATGGTCTTGGGTCAGCCTCGGATCCAGTGCCAGCTCTTACGACGACGATAGAGGATATTCCGTACACCATTAACATTCTGAGCGACGAACGACTAAATAACCAAGGAAAGTAAATTCCGAGTGCATGATTATATTAGATCAATAACAGTTATTCAAAGATAGATTAGAAAAAAAAAAACAGTTTGACGGTAAAAAAAATAATTATGGATGAGTGACGAGGTCACGACGTTAGGAGAGACGAATGTCCCCCATCCATACGTATTATTTATGCAGAAGTCAACCGTCGACGATTACTCTTCGTCCGTTTGCGCATTCGAACACCGAGACGGATTTCAATTATTTTTTTGACCTGATGAACACGTTCAATTCGGGAAATGGCTAAATAAGGAAGTTTGTGCGCACCAAATATCATAATATTTTAAGTACACGACTTCTAATTCTTCTAGTTCAAATTAGGTTGGCTCAAACAATAATAAAAGAAGATTACATAATGCATTATGATACCTTTTCGTCGTTAATAATAGGCGAGGTTAATATTCTGCGTGATGAAAGTGATGAAACAGAGGAGTTTCCTATTTAGGATACCCCTTGAAGCGTTATGTGTGACGAATAGGGATGGAAAAAGGTTTCAAGCAATCCTTATTTACAATGTTTTTAACATTATTAATAAAATTCTATTATTACTATTATTATTATTATTATTATTATTATATATAGAAATAAATTAATAATTTAACTTTTTTAAAATTTATTTATTGAATTTCATGAAAGAATTTATGAAATTTTTTTTATTATAAATTATAAGAAAAATTTTTAATAAATAACTTGAAATAAATAATTTGCTTGGAATGGTTCTCATCCCTAATTACGGAAGGCCCTTTTCATGGTTTTGTTTCACAAAATTGACCAATCAGCAAGCAAGCAAGATATGAACTTGATTGTTATCGCATTGCAGTAAAAGTTTTGTAATCGCACCAATCCCAATTTTCTAAAATCAAGTATCGAATTCGATATACTTGAACTTCATGATTCGCTTTCATTCAATGGTAAGATTCAGACCTCGAACATGTTACTTGAGGAGCAATGACTGCAGTTCAGTCGTTGATCGGTGATCGCATGTCCTCTGATGGGTTCAACTTTCTGACACTTTGTACATTTCCTGTTGCCAGATTCGGTGAATCCTGATGAATACAAAGAATGATAACCTAATAATCTCTATCTGCATTCGAGATTATGTCATTTGATCTCGACTCGAGCTAGCATAACCGATTGATACCAATCGAAAAAGATCCTTAAAGAAAGCAAACAACAAGACTTATTCAAACTAATCGAACAAGAAATCACTCCTTCAATGAACGTGAAGAAAATCGACTTAACGCAATTTGGGTTTTCATATTATCGACGAATAAACCTGCTTTGTTGAATGACGCACCCGACTTAACTATACAAAACCATCATAGTAAACTATTGGTTTGATGCGTAAGAAACCATCGAAACATGAAGGAAAAATCGATACTTTTTTTTCCAAACAGAATACATTGAAAAGTGGTTAACCATAAATAAATTACACAAGAATGAAAGGTCACGTCATGATTTTAATAGTTCCTGTAAAGTGGAACGAATGTCGTCTACAAATTCGTGGAATGTGCTTTTAAATTAATACCAAAATGCTTCAATAATGACTTATTCTGTCTAGCGAACACGTCGATCCCTATTTCACCCTTTTATTCTGCGTTTGCGCAATGCCACGATTAACGAGAAATGCATATATTTATTACATAATAATAACGATCACATAATCCCTTCTAACAATTTTTTGAATCGAATCACGCTTGCTTATATCAAGATTTCTTCATGATCGATTACATTAGCCTTTTACATTTGAATATGGACACGTTCTTGTGCGAACAAAAAAGGCAACAGAAAAAGTATGCTTTCGAGATACCCTTTTTTGGTTACGGTAGAACAATCTACGCAATGCGCATTTGGTCAAGGATCATAAGAGACACGTGAATTTGAAATGAAAAATGTTGGTCACCGCAAAAAATGCCCTTGTCACAATCGGAAAGTAATTTTGTAATATCAACAAATAACAATACCGAAAGATAAAGGTTAATAATAATGTTTGACACACCTTATCATCACTCTATTAACGCATTAGTCATCACTATGACCGTGCTCATCAAAGAAAACCTGCCAAGTTGATCTCTGATCCAATGCGTGATTTACCTCACCTATTTTAGTGGTAACATGAATCCTTTTTTTACCTTGACATCTTATTCTACAGGTTTTGGGAAAAGAAAACTGGTTAGTTACTTATGCAAACAATCTTCAAACTAGTCACATATGTACATAATCTACATATGTACATAATCTTCAAATTAGTTGGAAAAAAAAAAAAAAAAAATCCTGCTATTTGAGTCGCTTTCAAAGGCCCTTTTTTTAAAATTTTATCCGAAAATGCATACCAAATCCAGTTACATGCAGAACAGCTAACATTCAAAGTTTAATCGGCACAGTACGGAATTGTTAAACTCCATATATGTACATTCTAAAAAATCCCGATTCATACGACGTGCGTGAAAAGTTGTGATAACGTTGATTTAATTTTATTGAGAATACTCGAGTATGATGTAAAATAAATTTTCATCTGATCTTATAATGAAATACGATCGATTCTATTACATTATTTGGTTTGATATGCTGTGTACTACTCACTTTAATTTACCAAATAGACGTCTAATAAAAATTTTTTTCTTGATTTTTTTTCAAATATTTGTAAAAAAAACAACCAAAGGTAAAATTATGATCAACTAATCTCCCGATTTTTTATATCCTAAAATTAATTTTATTTTTTAGTTTCAATCAACTCTATCGTATAAAAAATTTCTTATAAATAAATCATGAATATTTCTCATAAAATATTAATCATTTTTTGGTTTATAAGATTTCTTTAAATATTTGGAATAATAATTACAAACATAAATAGATTATAACAATGGCCTATTGTTAAAAAAATTTTTTTAATTAATTATATTTTATACTGTAGTAATTAATAATTGTTAAAAAAAAATAATTTTTTTTAAATAATTTTTATTAATTCAAAAAACAAATAAATTTAATATTTTCTTGTAACAAAATCCATCTATTTTTTCTAATATTACTATTATAAAAAAACGTACCTTTATAAAAACTCAAATTATATTTCTATCTTTAAATTAATAAAATAATTATCTTTCTTAAATACCTATAATTGTCTTTTTTAATTCCATATAATTTATTTTTTAAACTATTGATAATATATTTTTTTGATAGATAATTGGTTGCAATATGATATTGTTACTATTGTAATAAATCAAATAATAATAAATTCTAAATTATTTTATCAATAGTTTTATTAAGTTTTCTATAAATAAAATATAAAATTATATTTAACAGCAAAGAAAAATTATTTATATTCAAATTTTTTTAATCAATCTATATTTCTTAAATAAAATATAAATTTTTTTTGATTCTATATTTATGTAATTAAATTAATATATAAAAATTTTTTTGTTATAACTATATAAATGATTTTATCT